AATGGTTCAGATATGTTGATGATATTTTATGTCTTATGCCCAAGAATGTACATATACATCATTTCCTTGGCAAATTAAATAGCTTAGCCCATTCTATAAACTTTACTGTTGAGTTTGAGGAAAATAACTCATTGCCTTTTCAAGATGTTTTAATTATTAAGAGTAATAATGAATTCAAATTTAAAATTTACAGAAAACCTACAAATAACTGTTCCTATGTCCACTATTGTTTTTCTCAACAAGATAGAGTTAAACTGTCTGTTTTCTCATCAATGTTTTTGAGAGCTTTACGAATTTGTAGTCCAGAGTTCATAGATGAGGAAATATCCAAAATTTATGAAATAGCCATTCATCTGAAATATCCGAGAAATGTAATTGATAAATCATTTAAAATTGCTAGAAATACTTTTTACAACCCAAAAAGGGACAACCAACCTTATTCAACTAAAAATATGTTGGTTCTCCCTTACCATGAAAACTTGGTTGATATGCCTTCTCTTCTTAAGACTTTTAATATTAAAGTTGTATTTAAAAATCTTGATACAATAAAAAAAACTTTTGATAAAGAATTCCCCCCAAAATGCTGACGGATGTGTCCATAAGATTCCTTGTAAAATTTGCGATAAGTATATTACGGTCAAACTGGTAAAAATCTCGAACTTAGATTAAAATAACATAAATATAGCATTAGAACTGGACAAGATTCCAATGCTCTATTTATTCATGTGAGAGATTTTAACCATCCAATTGATTTTCAAAAAGTTGAGAAAGTTGTATCAAGCAAGTCCATGGTTGACAGAAATATAATCGAATCTTGTTTCATAAAAAGCAGTTTTGAAAATAATATGAATATTTCCTTAGGTTTATATAAATTAGACTCATTTATAATTAATAAAATTTGGTTAGAGTTTAATAATACATTGGACAAATAATAAACCTTATTTCTTGGGTAGAATATTTTGTTAGTGGGATGTCGTGAGGACCTGTCTAGTTGGACCAGCGGACCTACTGCAGTGTTCCTCTTTTCTTATGAGTCCGGTATTGTCGCGCGTCAGGTGTATAATAAATTGTTCTTGTTGTAATAAGGTTAGGTAAGTTTTCTAAGATTCTTTTGGTGCAAAATTAAAAAATTTTACATTAACATTATTGAAAAAAATATATCTTTAAACGTATAAGAGAAAATTTTAGAAAGGAATTAATTTTAAATGAGTTATTGCTAATTGACCATATATATATATATATATATATATATATATATATATATATATATATATATATATATATATATATATATATATATATATATATATATATATATATATATATATAATCCTAAGTTAATAGTAAAATGTTCGAGTCGCAACAATGTAACCTTTGTCTTTCTTTGTTCTATGTAGTAGTATTAGTAGTAGTTGTAGTAAGGATAGTAAAAGTATTAACAGTGTTTGTATAATAAGGATAGTAATAGTGCCGGTAGTAGCAGTGACTATGGTAGTAGTAGTAGTAGTAATGAAAATAAGAGTAGTAGTATTAGTAGTCGTAATAAGTAGTATTATTAGTGGTTATTGTAGAAGTTGTAATAGTAATAAGTAGCAATTGTAGTATTAGTAACAGTAATAAGTAGTAGTATTGGTAGTAGTAGCATTAGCAGTAGTATTGGTAGTAGTAGCATTAGCAGTAGTATTGGTAGTAGTAGCATTAGCAGTAGTATTGGTAGTAGTAGCATCAGTAGTAGTATTGGTAGTAGTAGCATCAGCAGTAGTATTGGTAGTAGTAGCATTAGCAGTAGTATTGGTAGTAGTAACATTAGCAGTAGTATTGGTAGTAGTAGCATTAGCAGTAGTATTGGTAGTAGTAGCATCAGTAGTAGTATTGGTAGTAGTAACATTAGCAGTAGTATTGGTAGTAGTAGCATTAGCAGTAGTATTGGTAGTAGTAGCATTAGCAGTAGTATTGGTAGTAGTAACATTAGCAGTAGTATTGGTAGTAGTAGCATCAGCAGTAGTATTGGTAGTAGTAGCATCAGCAGTAGTATTGGTAGTAGTAGCATCAGTAGTAGTATTGGTAGTAGTAGTATTAGCAGTAGTATTGGTAGTAGTAGCATCAGCAGTAGTAGCAGCAGTAGTAGCAGCAGTAGTAGTAGACATGCAAAGCTTATGTTTAGGGTCCTTTCCATATAAATTTCTGGACACATTTTAAATACTTTATTTCTGACCAACATCCATGGCAGGTGTGAGCCAGATGTGGGAGAGATAACCTTCTCGCTTTACTACCGTAACCTCAAATGTGTAGCAAGACGATCACGATATAGACAAAGATACTCTGATAAAAGCCTTTACACACGTTAGCTGTCTGGTTGGGTGTCTCTCTTTCACCTTCCTCTCTCCTCTTTCTGTTTCTCTGCATCTCTCTCTCGTTCTCTCCTCTCCCTCCCTCCCTCTAGTAATCTATTAATTAATGCAACCCCTGCAAATAAACAAGTCGCAAAATATTCACCAAAATAAATTGCAGTAGTTTACTAACATATTGGGTCAACAGAACAGGTGGGGTCATCTGCCTATACTTTTAACTTATGATCGCATGGGAAGCACGTTGAGCACACATGCAACCACGCCTCACATATAAAAAACAGAGTCCGAGAGCTAGAGCTCAGTGCTATTTCACACACACACACATACATGTAGGAAAGTAATTTCAGTGCTGTTTCACGGCAGTAAAACAGTTTATTATATATATATATATATATATATATATATATATATATATATATATATATATATATATATATATATATATATATATATATATATATATATATAATATATATTTATATATATATATATATATATATATATATATATATATATATATATATATATATATATATATATATATATATATATATATAATATATATATATATTATATATATATATATATATATATATATATATATATATATATATATATATATATATATATATATATCGTGCTGAATAGGTAAAACTTGCGATTTTGGCTTAAATAGCAACGCTCTTCTTGCCCAATAAGGTAACGTATTCACCATCACTCGTTCGATAACTGTTTTGCTGACATCTTCACTAAAGTCACAGTACTGGTAAATCATACAACTCTAGATCGTGCCAATACGATAACCCAGTGTTCGATATTTCTGCCTCTGGGCAGGATAACGTTCCCCTATCCAGGATAAATCAACTCTTAGTTAGGATAGCATTACCCCTGGCCAGGATAGGTCACCCTTTGACCAGGATAACTTTTAGCTCCTGGCAAAAATATCTTAGACACTGGTCAAGATCACTAACCTTGAAGCAGAATAACTATAGCCCTTGGCTAGGATAACTTGGCCATTGATCAAGATAACTTAGCCTCTGCTCAGGATAATTCAACCTCAAGCCAGGATAATTCAATATCTTGCCAGATAATTTGCCCTTCGTCCAGGATAACTTAAACCCAGACCAGGAAAACTCGGCTCTTAGTCAGGATAATTCACACTCTTGCAGTTTAACCTAGCCTATATCCTGGATATCTGATCCCCTGTCCAGGATAACATAGCCCCTAACCAAAATAACTTAAGCTACAAGCCAAGATAACATAACCCCTGGCCAGGATAACATAGCCCCTAACCAAAATAACTTAAGCTACAAGCCAAGATAACATAACCCCTGGCCAGGATAACATAGCCCCTAACCAAAATAACTTAAGCTCCATACCAAGATAACTTAACCCCTGGCCAGGATAACTCATGCTTTGAAATAGGATAGCAGATTCTCTGAATACGATTGATCTTGTTATCCTGTTTTGTGAGTAGGATAACACGAGCCTCGTATACATGGCAGAAAAGAATGTTTTCTCTCACAACACGTTGTATATACAGAGCTATAAGGCCTCAGTGTATATACGCAGGGGTATACGCAGGGGTGTGTATATACGCAGGGGTGTGTATATATATATCCCAGTGTCTATATCTGAGAACTGACGTTGCCTTAACTTATTTATATTGTTCTCATTTCCCTCATTCTTTCATACTTTCATTCTCATTTCTTCATCTACTTTCTCCTCCTATTCTACTCATCTTTCGCCAATATTTTTTCAATTCTATTCCCCATCTCTGTCTTTCTGTCTGTCTGTCTCTGTCTGTCTCCCTCCCTCTCTCTCTCTCTCTCTCTCTCTCTCTCTCTCTCTCTCTCTCTCTCTCTCTCTCTCTCTCTCTCTCTCTCTCTCTCTCTCTCTCTCACTCTCTCTCTCTCTTTTTTTTTTTTTTTTTTTTTTTTTTTTTTTTTTTTTTTTTTTTTTTTTTTTTTTTACACATGGTTTGACAAGGTTAAGGATCCCTAGCTTTATTGACAAGCTATTTACAGGTTAAGGATTCCTAACTTTATTGACAAGCTAAGAGCTGTTACCTACATCAGCTCATTTGAAAGCATTTTTATTGTTATGAGACATACAAGTAGGGAACAGGATGAAGTTGGAGCCATCTGTGGGCCAGCATTTTCATTTGATCAACTGACGTTATCTCGTTGACATCATTATGCTGAACGAATGTGTTCCATACTCTCTCTCTCTCTCTCTCTCTCTCTCTCTCTCTCTCTCTCTCTCTCTCTCTCTCTCTCTCTCTCTCTCTCTCTCTCTCTCTCTCTCTCCCTCTCTCTCTCTCTCTCTCTCTCTAAGTTAATTCCTGGTGAAGGGCTTTTGATTCAATCAACTGGAGGTACGAGTTACCATCCCCCTATGGATCAAACCGGATTATCTCATATTTCCCAGGTCTTACATGGCCCTTACGGGTGGAGAGCTTTCTCCCAAAACATATTAATTATAATTTAGATTTAATTGATGAGTGCAATATTTATTTTTATTTAAACTGTTCCATAATAATAATAATAATAATAATAATAATAATAATAATAATAATAATAATAATAATAATAATAATAATAATAATAATAATAATAATAATAATAATATCATTAAAAACTCCCCCACCGTAGTGATAGTGGTGGGTAAATCTCTGTCATCTTCCTCGATAACCGTGAAGACTGGGTCCGGGTGCACGAAGACTGGAGGGTTGTCATTGATGTCTGCCACCCGCACCTGCACGATGGTGTGCACCGCCTCCCCGCCCACGCCCGAGCCGCCGCCGCTCACGCCCGTGCCTCCCACGGCTGCCTCCGCTGCTACCACCAACTCGTGCTGAAACAGAAGTGGGAGTGCTGGTGGGCAAGTGATATGTGAATTGAGAGGAAGGAAGGAAAGAAGGAAGAAAGAAAGGAAGGGAGGAAAAGAGGAAGAAAGAAAAGAAGGAAGGAGATAATAAAAAATGAAAAGAGGAATGAATAAAGGAAGAAAGAGAAAAGGAAAGAAAATTTTAAATTTACGAATGAGAGAGAGAGAGAGAGAGAGAGAGAGAGAGAGTGAGAGAGAGAGAGAGAGAGAGAGAGAGAGAGAGAGAGAGAGAGAGAGAGAGAGAGAGAGAGAGAGAGAGAGAGAGAGAGAGAGAGAGAGAGAGAGAGAGAGAGAGAGAGAAATAAGCTTCAGACGACGCAGTGGCAGACAGAGAAGAGAGAGGCGGAACTGCCCGGAAGTTCGTAAGATTTACCTGCCATCTTACATGCTGGAATGCAAAACATTTAAAGTCAACAGAAGATTAAATTGTTCCTTTTAAATGGTGACGCCATTCAGCATCACCACCATTTCCCAATCATTTTTTAAAGACATTATCACCACAAAACTGAAGTTGATATATCCTCTTCCATCACACTTCCCACAAGGGGACTGACCAAAAACTTTCTCCATACATCTCAAATATTGTAGTTGGAATTATACAATCATACGATATGTTGAAGCTTGAGTGGAGGAAGCTTAACAATAGTAGTAGCAGTATAAAAAAATTATAAACGAAAAAGTACTGTGGTTGGCCTACTGGCCAAATAAAATCGCTGGTCCACAGATGGCTCCAAGTTCATCCTGTTCCCTATTTGTGTATCTCTTAACAATGAAAGGGCTTTAAAATGAGCTGATGTAGGTAACAGCTCTTAACTTGTAAATAAAGTTAGGAACCTTAAACCTAACCTTGTAGAACCCTGTGTAAACTAAAAAGTATATATAATACCGATATAATGGAAGAAGACACAAAAGGTAATCTCTTTAGGACAAACTGATTGCATTTGGTCTTTTTAACCCACCATTAGCTCTTAATCCATCCTAAATTTGTCAGTACTCATTAGCAGCCTAGTGATGTTCCAGTCGTATGCACACACATTCATTCACTTATACTTGGCAGATCCCCCCAAAACCCAGCCCTTCTTACTCATATATTTGTCTAATCCATTTTTAGAACATACGTCCCCAGCGTCAGCTGGCCTGATTAAGCTTGCTCCGTCTATGCTTTGGTTTTGAGCCGCCCAGCAAGCCGGATTTCCTGGGCGTTTTTGGAAGGCATCACACGAACAACGATAAACAAAGAACGAATTATTTTTCCCAGTATCCTTTGGCGTCTTGCTGAGCGTGTTATTGTGTGCGGATGGTGTATGTGATCGCCTCACCTCTTTGTTCCTCTTACTGTTTCTCGTGAAAGACGTATATTGTAATGAACGTCTTATTTCTTTTTAACCTGTTCTTGTTTATCACAAACAGGAGGCACGTTAGTGTTGACGTGATTTGAGCAGGAATATCAAGACTCACGAAATCGTAAAAATACGATTGTCTGGAGTTCTAGGACTAACTTGCCATGGGTTTTAAACCCCCACCCGTTCTGTGGTTTGTTAGAAATATCAGGATTATATTTTACCCCACCAGCCTTCTACCACTGAACTAAATTTATGTTTGATTGGGTAGGACTGGGTTAGGTATCTACTGTACCATATAGAGTATCTGAAACATAGATTAACCGGAATAACCAGAAGAAGATTGAGTTTCTTGAGTACAAGAGAGCCCCGTTTATACAGCAGGTTAGGTTCTGAGCTACTGCTGTAAATTGAAATTCGCTATAAAGTGAATCATAGCCATTTTTCACTTTCAAATGCATATAAAACTCTGATATCATGTTTACAATATCATTTATCAAGTAAGCAATATATGCATATACAGTACACACATTACTTGCCTTAAAATATTTTTGTCCTTAGCTTATTGTGAATGGTGAATATATTTATTGTAGGAAGTGTGAATAAGTGAAGAATGAGTATAATTGAAAACCGCTGTATTAGGAAAATGCTGTAAAATGAAGAGCTGTAAAGCGGGGCCTGCCGTATAAGGAATTTGAAATACAGAGTTTGTGGAAAATTAAGAATCTAGAATACTTTATGTTGATGTTAATTAATGTTTGTGTTAGGATAAATGCATAGGATTTTGGCTCTTGTTACTTTCTTCAACTCCTGAAGGAGTGTGTATATGAGTGCCACAGGTGAGCCAGATTCCTAACTCATGGAGCGATTCACCTTGAGTGAATCGCTCCATGAATCAGGAGTGTTTCGTGGGTCAACGCCCCTGCTGCCCGGTCCATGACCAGACCTGGTGACAAGTAGGTATTTCTTTTCCTTCCTGATTTCGATTATTTGTTGACCTTTCCCTGGCTCAGTCCTCGTTTTATCTTCCACTGGACTCCTGAGAAAGTAAGCTGTTCTGTCCTGCATGGGTACCTTCATCTCTTATGGTCTTGTTTCTAATATTGTCTTAATTATGTTTATATTCGGTAACCGGTAAAGGTTTTACTTTTATGTGTTTTTTAGCGTAATTTGTTGTTGTCGCCCCCTTTTTTAGAGCCTTTCAGCCCCTATAAGTATGTGTGAATATATTCATATATATATATATATATATATATATATATATATATATATATATATATATATATATATATATATATATATATATATATATATTGTATATATATATATATGTCACATGTACACGCCTATGTATGTGTGTATATGTAAATTCGATATCTTTTGACAATTATCTTTCTCTTACTACACTCCTTTTACTTTCCTCTGCCTTATGTGTATAATTCTTCTTGCCTCCGCACTTGAATGATAGAGATATCCTTATAAAAATGCTATTTCTCCTGTGTATGGCATAGGTTATCCTGATAGATGGCAATTCCAAATTGACAGCATCTTTAGCTTTGCTGGAAGGAAACCTTTGAAGCTCCCGTTGCTGAAGAACCCTTGCTGTAATGCTAGACGTTATCATCAATTCCCCCACTGAAGTCTCCCATTTAAGGCTGACAGATTTCAATACACGTAAGAGCCCCATCCTGCACAAATAGAATGTGACAGAGGGAAACATAGCTAGCTTTTATTCCCATTGTATAACTATCATATAGAATAAGAAAGCGGCATATTGCTTATGTATCCAATTTTGTTTAATAAAAAAAATAGGTTGACCTTTAGGGTAAATTTATCATAGGTACTATAACCCCATTAACACTTTGGTGTGTCAGTCCACCAGACTTAATTAAGCCAGTCTAACCCTTCTTATGAAGCCCAAACCGTTTTATAGCCTGGATGATAAATCTGGGAGTTTCTTTCCATCCTATCGGAGGTCCTCCAGTAGATAATGCCCCATTACTTCTCTCTCCTGTCACATCCATGTGTATTTGTTATTAGAGCATCCTTGGCAATATGTCCTTGTTTTTTTTTTCTAAATATAGGCTTATATTAATTTTTCACCCTTTATTATTAATAAAAGTATCTATTATAAACAGCTTATCTACCAACCCTTATGTTTCTTATTTTGCCTATTGTTCTTTATTAATTTATTTTCAGAGAAATGAGAGAAGAACTCTCCTATTCTTTATACTGAGGAAGTCGGGAATACCGACTTCCTCAATATAAAGAATAGGAGACCATTCCCTTAGACTGGAATATAGAATAATTTGATTATAGAGTATCTGGAATATTGAGAATCTCCAATAACGACTACTTCCACTTTATACAGTTATGAGATTATCATCTGAGTGTATATACGGCACTCGATAATAACACAGTAAATGACTAAATAACCGGAAACGTTCAGTATAAACACATTTTAACTTTTGATTCACTTATGAAGAAGCTCTTAACCCATAAGGGTCATACAGCCCTTGAAGAATGAGAAGAATGAGAGATATTAGGTATGTTTCGTGGCAAGGGATCGTAGTTTCAGTTCCGTGGATTACGAGCCTCTTCAACAGCATCTAGGCAGCTACTTTAGGGAAGACAAAAGCCAGAAATTCTGTCTTTCACTGATTCCGCACGAGTCTGGGCAGCTAGTTGCATCGCCTGGGTTTCTAAAAGCAATGTTACCAGCTTGCTATAAATAATGAGAGGAATTACGAAGGAATAGCAGGAACAGAGCGCCTGGTGGGCAGATTTAGCATGCTCTTTCCCACGAGCAAGGGCCATGACTCGCCACCACCCGACGGTAATATGTAATACATTTAACACGCTCCTTCACCAGTAACTGCTGCCAAGACTCGGAGGTAGAGCTTATATTTTTAACCTGCGACGTGTGTGTGTGTGTGTGTGTGTGTGTGTGTGTGTGTGTGTGTGTGTGTGTGTGTGTGTGTGTGTGTGTGTTTGTGTGTGTGTGTGTGTGTGTGCGTGTGTGTGTGTGTGTGTTTGTGTGTGTGTGTGTGTGTGTGTGTGTGTGTGTGTGTGTGTGTGTGTGTGTGTGTGTTTGTGTGTGTGTGTGTGTGTGCGTGTGTGTGTGCGTGTGTGTACTCACCTATTTGTACTCACCTGGTCCAATACCTTGGCGACCATTGTGGTAAGGTGGGAGAGCACTGCGTTCCTTGTTCCAAAGTTCGAGGGTTCGAGTCTCCGACTTAAGATTAGTGTTTGTGAATATTTCACCTGTTCTGCGAATTCTAAACATTGTAAAAATCTGTCGTCGATCGATGCATGCAGGGGATGTGATGAAAAGCTGAAAGTCACCTGCCGGAAAGCTGGCTGCCTTGGACCAAAACGTCTAGCGATAGCTGGGCGCCAATGTATTGGACCAGAGTGGTACGGTGGTAGAACACTGCGTTCTTTGTTCCAAGGTTCGTAAGTTCGGGTCTCCTTCAACCTGAGATTAGTGTTTGTATATATATATATATATATATATATATATATATATATATATATATATATATATATATATATAATATATATATATATATATATATATATATATTTATATATATATATATATATATATATATATATATATAT